CGTATAATGACGACACGTTATACCAAATTTGGTATATGTGGTGGTAGCGATTTATTGATATGTGGGGTTTAACGTACCAGAACCACCATTTGATTTTGAGACACGCCGTATTGAAGGGCTCCGGAAATTTCGACCACCTGGGGTTCTTTAACACGCACCCAAATCTAAGTACACGGGCCTACAACGTTTCCGCCTCCATCGGAAATACAGCCGCCTACCGTGAAGTAGCAAAACGGCTGCGAGCGCGTCATGAAGAGCTCAGTATACTCCAGACTAACATTGACGCCCGTACATGCTAGGCGCAGTGACCATACGTTAGCAAAACGCGAGCGCTCTAGTCTGACGCCAGATGCGACCGACGCGACCAGCGTCCGTCGGTGCGGCTCGGCGGCAACCGGCGCGAAATGCTACATCCTGCAGCGACACCTCCTCTAGAAAGATGCCTGAGGAATGGCTCGCGCTCCCAGCGGAGTTGACCTGCCTTCAGTTTTAAACAGTTGCTTGGCGCTCGCGACCAACACTGTCATCACGGTGGCGGGCGGTACCAGCTATGCGTTTTAGGGGCGAAGCTCCTTATAGCGGCACCCGTTCGTCCCTCGTAGTAGTAGTGTGTAACAAGTGTTACTTTTTGACCTCCAAGGTGGTGCCGGTGGGAGATTTCTTCTGTGCGTTGTTGAACAATAAAAATAGTGCTCAATGTACATGCCAAGGACTGCTAATGGGGAATGAGACACAGGAGCATTCGGCGGCTTTTAGTTACCGCGCACGCTGCGATCCCCATTAGCAGCCATTGGCATGTACATTGAGCACTATCTGACAAGAAAGCGTTGCTACGTTATACACGCTGGTTGTAACCTCCTTAGTTTTAGAAAGGTTTAGCGAGCGTTGAGCCGCAGTGCCATGAATACAATGAACTAGTATATACCATGAGCTCTAGGTGGTTAAAGGTGGGAAGTAGATAAGAAGCGCAATTTGTAAGAAAGTAAAGGCCGAATACTTCTGTCTCTTATTTAACATTAACAGTCATTGACATGTACATTGAACACTATCTGACAGGAAAAGGTTGCTACGTTATAGTCGCTGGGCGTAACCTCCTTGGTTTTAGAAAGGTTGAGCGATCGTTGGGACGCAGTGCCATGAATACAGTGAACTAGTATATACCATGAACTCGACGTGGTTAAAGGTGGGAAGTAGACCCGAAGCGCAAGCCGTAAGAAAGTGTGCGTGCACCACCTCTCGTTTAGTCCTTCAAATGTCCGCTGGATGTCAGTGCTTCTATGTGGGGAATTTAGAAGCATCGGAAACACAGGAGCTTGGAAAACAATCTGTTCGCACTGACGCTGTGCATTGAAATAGCAGTAATGAACTCAGGTCTCTGTTGCTAGCATTTTTGAATATCAAGGGAGCGTACGATAGCGGGGTTCAAGAGGACTTGAGGGGAATACTAGACACACTGGGTGTGGAAAATGGAGTCACTAATATTTCAAAAGAAATATATAAAAGTAACAAGATAGTTATAAAGTGGGAAAACAGGTATCCAAACCCACAGAGGTGAAACTGGGACTTACGCAGGGGTGTCCTCTGTCACCCTTGTTATTCATGATGTACCTAAAAGGATTAGAGGCCAACTTAGAGGGAAGTGGACTTGGCTTCAACCCCTCTTTAGTCAAACAAGGAAAACTCCTTCATCGGGCACTACTAGCATTATTGTGCGCAGATGATATAGTGCTAATGGCCGACAACAAGGAAGATTTGCAGAGATTGATGGACATCTGCGGTAATGTGGGAGATAGGTTAGATTTTAGATTTAGTAAGGAAAAATCAGCAGTCATGGTTTTTATTTATAATGAAGATTGTGAGCTTAGAATACAGGAGGTCACGCTAGAGATAACAGATAAATACAAATATCTGGGCCTATAGATAAGCAACGGGACCGAGTACCTAAGGGAAAATGAAATATACGTGACGACTAAAGGTAACAGGAATGCAGCAGTGTTGAAAAATAGGGCACTGTGGAATTAAAATAGGTATGATTTTGTGAGAGGAATATGGAAAGGGGTCATGGTTCCTGGGCTGACGTTCAGCAATGCGGTCTTGTGCATGAGATTCGATTCGATTTGTGGGGTTTAACGTCCCAAAACCACCATTTGATTATGAGAGACGCCGTAGTGGAGGGCTCCGGAAATTTTGACCACCTGGGGTTCTTTAACGTGCACCCAAATCTGAGTACACGGGCCTCTAACATTTCCGCCTTCATCGGAAATGCAGCCGCCGCAGCCGGGAATCGAACCCGCGACCTGCGGGTCAGCAGCCGAGTACCTTAGCCACTAGACCACCGCGGCGGGGCCTTGTGCATGAGATCAGAAGTTCAAGCAAGATTAGAAATTTAGCAACGTAGAATAGGTAGGCTTGCTTTAGGAGCTCTCGGGAATACACCAAATCAGGGAGTACAAGTTGATATGGGATGGACATCATTTGAGGGCAGGGAAGCTAGCAGCAAGATAAAACTTGAGAAGCGATTGAGAGAAATGAAGGAGGAGCGTTGGGCTAGGAAGGTTTTCCGCTGCTTGTACATGAATAATTTCGATACAAAATGGAGGAAGCGAACCAGGAATTTGACTGGCATATACTTAGAAAACAGCAGGTGGCCAAACCAAAAAGAACTATCGGTTAAGAAGAAAGTGAAGGAAATTAAGACTGACATGTGGAGAATTGGCATGATTAGGAAGTCCGCACTAGAGATCGATCGAAATTCAGGCAGAAAATTGCCAAGGAAAGGATCTATGATAATACTCGGGGTGGTTCTCTACTGTTTGAGGCCCAGACGGGAGTATTGCAAACCAACACATATCGCGCCAAATACGAAGGGGTAGACACGGTATGCAGTGCATGTGGAGAGGAGGAGGAAACTGCCGAACACTTGACAATGATCTGTAAAGAGCTTCACCCTATAGTTCCGGATGATGGCGCAGAGTTTTTCAAAGAACTGGGGTTTAGGGACAGGGAGGGCAAAATAGACTTTAAGCGGGTAGAATTAGCTAGAAGTAGGCTATCTGATTGGTGGCTAAAGTCAAGGCACGAGTGAAAATTGAACCCTTCACTGCAAAGTACGAATCCTCAACCTCAATATTTATTTAAAAAGAAAAATCAATCAAGTGGTTAGTTCACTAAGTATTACGGCTAGGTGGGGTTAGCCGCCACCCGATCTGAAGGATACAGCCACATCCATCCATCCATCCTATATATGATGAAAAGATGCGAAATGGTGGTACTTGGAGTGTTGAATAGATGGACGAACGGACAAACAGGCAGATGCATGGATGGACGCATGAACAGACGCTGGGGCGGATGCATGGACGAACGCAGGGACAGACACACGAACAGACGCACGCACGGATGGGCGGATGGAAGCATGGACGGTCACACAGACGGACGCATGGACGGACGGAAGCAAGAACGAATGGACGGAGGAAAGCTTTGCCCCACTCTCCATCAATCACTCCGTGGATATGCTGCCAATTTTTTTTTTCATCTGTGGCCCATAGGGGCGCGTCAGTCGAGAGTTGTTCAAGACCTGCAACTGTACACCTCAATTTCGGAGGCCATGCAAAGTGTAGCGTGGTTGCGCCGTCCACCACAAGTGACGCTAGCGACCGAGAACATTGTAAAATGAAGGAGGGAAAGAGTGTGGTAGCTGTTTTTCTTCTCATGCGGCAGGCACCTAAATAGGGGAGGCGTTGTTTGCAGTAAGCGCTGATGACGTTACCCAGATCTACGCAGACGGCCCTGCTAAGGCGCTGCGTCTGCCTCTCGTTGTGATGGAGGGTCACTGAGAGCACTCAATTGCGCATGCGTTTAGAGGAGGCGTTGGTCAAAGCAACGCAGCGCGACGTGTGCCTGCAAGTGCATGGCAGGCAGATCGGCGCCTGGCGTGGTACTTCCGGCGTGTCGCGACGAAACAAACGCCGGCGCGCACACGTGATGGGTCACATAGATGTGTATTGGTGCCTTCAGTGTGGATTGTTGTCATGTTCTTACATGACACGCATCTTCTGATTACCATGTTTGCACGTCACATACCTTTGTCATTCATTCCAACGCCTCCTAATACAATTATGCCCGGAACCTGAGCCGCGAACGCACTGCTCTACCCTCTTATTTTACTCTCCTCCTTTGGTTCGCAGGCAAGCATCTCTCACAGCCGCCTTCTGCGAACACAGCAATGCTCACACAGTTGCCTCCATGCAGCCGTGATGTCACGTGACAGAGCAGCACGGTAATGTCATGTGACTGAGGCGAGCGGTTTCATGCAGCAGCCGGTCGCAACACAAGGCAGGAGGCATGGCCTCTGAGATGAAGTGCTGGTAGGGGGCTCTCAATTGAAAAGAGAGTGACGTTCCAGGCCTGGTTTTTCTTGGAGGCGTTGTTCATTCACGTGACGTATTACCAAATTTGGCATATGTCAAGCTAGTAAAACGGCCACGAGCACATCATGAGCGCGGCATGTAGTCATGTTGTTACATGACACGCATGTCATGATTTTCATGTTAAGGTCTGTCGCTTGTGTTCACCGTGCAGTCAAATATACCACACCAGTTTTGCAAATCACATGTGAACGAAGTCACCGAAAGAGGAGCAAGACCATGAAATGTAAATCATGACATTCATGACATTAACATCATGATTTTCATGATATGACTACTCGAATACGCCCGAAATGCAGTCATGTTATTCCATACCGAGTTTGGTATTGATACCATTATCCTAAAAGCCAGGAGAGCTAAAAGTCGTATGCGGCTAGATAGATAGATAGATAGATAGATAGATAGATAGATAGATAGATAGATAGATAGATAGATAGATAGATAGATAGATAGATAGATAGATAGATACGCTCGATGTCGCCGAAGTTCACTAAGAAATGCTTCGCATTTAAAAATGAAACGCGAAAGCGACCACTGGCTGCGCGTGAGAGGGTGGACGGAGCGATCCAACCAAGTATGGCACAGCTATGCGTCCACATGGTGGCACCAGGGTATGTCCACGCGCCGAATACTTTGCCCCGTGGGCGTCGACGACCATGCACGAACGCGCTTATCTCGTGGTGGGGGAATTGTACGTTTTGTGTTTTAACTGGAATGTCTGTGTTTCAGTTAACGGGCGCACGAAGTTCACATTTGCTGGCTGCCGAGTCCCCTTTGCTTATATGGCACGCTTTTTAAACACAGTGAAATAACAGCTGTAACATCCTTGAGTTCGCGCTCGTCTGCTCATGTTAGTACGTATTGTGCGTCGTTTCAGGGGCGAAGTTCCTTAAGACATGGTTCTTGCGTCCCCGATGTATGTAGTAGTAGTAGTAGTAGTAGTAGTAGTAGTAGTAGTAGTAGTAGTAGTAGTAGTAGTAGTAGTAGTAGTAGTAGTAGTAGTAGGAGGAGGAGGAGGAGGAGGAGGAGGAGTATAGTAGGTAGCCACCGCTCGTTAATTTTTGGAATGGCCGCTGTATGGCGGTACTTGTATATGATGAATATATTGCCACCTATAGTTGTGAGCCGGCAAGCGCTAGCGAGCCAAAAAGGGCAAAAAGAACGAAGAAGTGTGGTTAGCGCCTCGTTTGAAGATACACGCTCGTGTCTTTCTACCCCGCTGTTCCTGTCTTGTCTCTACGGCTCTTGGTGCGTGACAAACTGGTGGAAGTCTGGGTAATCTATGCACCGTACCCCTCCACATAGCAGGAACACAAGCATCGTACCGGTGGTCACTCCTGTGCATCGCGCCAGCAGAAGAATCCGAGGGCAATCCCCTGAGTATGGACTCCTCGCAAACAACATGGCAGCTCCGACCAGCCCTACCGACACCAACCCAACCAGTACGAATGCCACAAAGCCACTTCAATGCACCTTACTCGCACCACGAACGCCAAATCCCTTTCATGGCACTGCACTTGAGGATGTGGAAGATTGGCTTGTTCATTACGAGTTCGTTGCCGTGCACAACCAGTGGGACGACGCAGACAAACTGCAGCACGTCTATTTCAGTCTTTTGGACGGCGCACGTGCCTGGTATGAGAACCGGGCAGGTAATCTTACATCATGGGAAGACTTCAAACGCCTACTTTTTGGGACATATGCCAGCCCTGACCGTCGGGAGAAAGCTGAGCGTGATCTGTAGTCCCGCATACAACTGCCGAAAAAAGGTGTTGCGATGTATGTCGAGGAAATGATGCGCCTTTTCCACCGAGCTGACCCCGGCATGCCAGAAGAAAAGAAGGTATGGTACCTCATGCGCGGGGTCAAAGAGCAGCTTTTCGGTGGGCTTGTACGCAGTCCACCCAAGACTGTGTCAGAATTTCTCACGGAAGCCGTCACCATCGAAAGCACTCTTAGGCACCGGGCCCCGTCATACGAACGGCACGTCAACGCTTCAACTACGGACTACTTAGGAGGTTTCGGTGCCCAAATGGATTTCTTCCGAGAGCTGATACGTTCAGTCATCCGCGAAGAACTCCAGAAGCTGTCAGTGCCCTCGCAGCCCACTACCTCCTCGTTGTCCAGCATCGTCCGTGATGAAGTCCAGCATGCCTTAAGAGAGCCGCCTTGCATTCGGGATTATCAGCCACCCGGTGACTTCTCCCGCATGTCGTATGCTCAAGCTTTGCGGCAACCCGTTACACCTGCTATTTCGCATCCCACCGTGGCCCCAGCCATGCTGCAGACGGTCAAAGTGACGCCTGTGGTGAAGCTGGGCACCTGTACCGAAAGTGTCCTTACCGAAAACTTGGACTACGTGGATGTTCGACGAACCCACCTTCACCCAGGTTCGGTCAGCGGCTTCCTGAAATTGAAGAGTATGTGGCTCAACAGCGCGGAACTTCGTCATCCTTGCACCCCCATCACCGCAGCAATTTTCTCCTAATCGCCGTACCTATTCGAGCGTGTCGCAGGGCTCGTCACCCAGTCCACACCGGGAAAATTAACCACAGCGACATTCGGGGGCGAGGCCGCTCATACTGGACAAGCTCAAGGCCTCCTACCGACGCTTCCGCAAACTGACGATTCACCAACGACGATGACATGAGCTGGTTCCGCAAAGATTTCATTAGACATTCCAGTGCTGCTCGATGGTCGCAAAGTCAGTGCTGTAGTTGACACGGGTGCGTATTTTTCTTTAATAGGTGGAAAACAGGCTGCTCTCCTAAAGAAAGTGACAATGCCTCGGAACCTCAGGCCAATTCGTACTGCTGGCGGGCACATCGTCATGCCTCTCGGGGTTTGCATAGCACGAATACAGATTCGTGGTTCTACCTTCGTTGTCAGCTTGAGCGTTCTCCGTCAGTGTTCTCGAGACCTGATCATTGGCATGGACTTCCTGAAGAAGCACGGTGCTATCATCGACATTCGACAATGCCTCGTCACGTTCTCAACAAAAAGCGCCACAACAGAGCGTATTCCCAGCCACGATCGAATATGTCTGCGGGTAATTGACGATGCTGTGATGATACCACCGCGCTCAAGTCTTATGGTTCAAGTGGCGTGTAACAAATCAGCACACAGCGTAATGGTGGCGGCGAGCAATCGATCCCTACTCTTTTCCCAAGGTGTCTGCCTAGCACGAGGCCTAGTAGACCTACAGGCTGGCCACTGCGAGGTACTTGTTACGAACTTCAGCTACAAGCGCCGACACCTTTTCCCTGGTACTGTCATCACCTATGCCTTCCCAGTAACCAATGTGACTGAGTGTTTTCCTTCCGAGGAACCGATAATGTCGAAGCACCTCTCCGGGTCGTCGATATAAATCCAACGCTTTCTGACGAAAACAAACGAAGGCTTAACAACCTGTTGATATAATTTCATGCCTGTTTTGCCCGTTCATCGAGAATCCGTCAAACATCGATTACCAAACACCATTTTATCACCTACGGCGACGCGCACCCTATACGACAACAGCCTTACCGCGTTTCACCAACCGAATGACGCGCGATTCAGAAGCAAGTGAAGGAAACGCTTCAAGACGGTGTAATACAGCCATCAAGCAGCCCTTGGTCATCACCAGTGGTCCTTGTAAAAAAGAAGGATGGTACACTTTGCTTTGTGTCGATTATAGGATGCCGAATAACGTCACAAAGAAAGACGTGTACCCGTTGCCTCGAGTGGACGCTTCTCTTGACAGGCTGAGGCGAGCAAACTACTATTCCTCAATTGACATGAAAAGTGGTTATTGGCAAATTGAAGTCGATGAACGTGACCGCGAAAAAACGGCTTTTGTAACTTCTGACGGCCTGTATGAATTCCGAGTGCTTCCATTCGGCCTCTGTTCCACTCCGGCCACATTCCAACAAATGATGGATACCGTTCTCGCTGACCTCAAGTGGAAAAGTTGTCTCGTCTATGTAGATGATGTCGTTGTCTTTTCAAAAACGTTTGACGAGCACCTTCGTCGCCTTCGGAGTGTTTTTGAAGCCATACGATCTGCTGACCTTACCTTCAAGTCTGAGAAGTGCCAGTTCGGCTAGAATGAACTGTAATTCTTGGGTCACGTTTTGAGTGCTGCAGGCATTCGGCCCGATCCCGAGAAGACTGCCGCTGTGGCCGCTTTTCGAGCTCCAACAGACAAAATAAGTCTTCAGCGATTTTTAGGGCTCTGCGCACACTATCGCCGCTTTATTACAATTTTTTCTAAGGTTGCGGAGCCTCTCATCAGACTTACGCGTGACGACTCCCCACTTCAGTGGACTGACGAACAAGCGACTGCCTTTGCGTAACTGCAACATCGATTGTCTTCCCCTCCTGTGCTCGGTCATTTCGATGAGGACGCTGGCACAGAGGTGCGCACTGACGCAAGCAACATTGGTCTCGTAGCTATCCTGGTGCAAACACAAGATGGGATCGAAAGTGTGATTGCCTTCGCAAGCCCCACTCTATCACGTGCCAGAACCAACTATTCAACGTCAGAGAAGGAATGTCTCACGGTAATATGGGTGATTACAAAGTTCAGGCCTTATCTCTATGGGCACCCATTCAAAGTTGTGGCTGATCGCCACGCTTTATGTTGGTTGGCTAACCTCCGAGACCCCTCTGGGCGATTAGCACGATGGAGTCTTCGACTTCAGGATTTCGATGTCACCATCGTATACAAGTCCGGTAGAAAGCATGAAGACGCCGACATGATATCACGAGCACCTCTGGAATCCGACCATACAGCTGTAGAAGACGACAGCGCCTTCCTGGGGACTCTCAGTGGAGCGGACCTCCTCAGTAAGCAACGAGCAGACCCCGAGTTAAGGCCCATCATCGATCACTTAAAAGGCAACACCGCGTCTGTTCCTCGTCCACTTTCCCGTACGTTGCCGTCATTTTGCTTACGAAACGGCATAATATACAAAAACACCCGTGTTGGCAGCAGATCTTATTTTCTAGTCGTCCCTCAAGACCTTCGTGAACACATCCTATTAGCCTGCCACGATGAGCCGACATCCAGCCATCTGGGATACTCATGGACGCTCGACCGGGTTCGACAGCTTTATTTCTGCCCAAAACTCGCTGCTTGTGTCAAACGCTACGTGAAAGGATGCCGCGAATGTCAGCGTCGCAAGTCACCACCTGTAAAGCCTGCAGGCCTCTTACAACCCATCGATCCACCACGTACGCCATTTGACCAAGTCGGGATGAACCTCCTTGGACCGTTTCCTTTGTCTCACTCCGGAAACAAGTAGATCATCGTCGCAACTGATTACTTGACGCGTTACGCTAAAACGAAGCCATTGCCACGTGGTACAGCATCTGAAGTCACCCAGTTTTTCTTGCACCACATTGAGCTTCGTCATGGCACCCCTTCATTTATCATCACTGACCGAGGGACAGTGTTTACGGCAAAACTGTTGGACGACATCTTCAAGCTCAGTTACACGAACCACCGCAAGACGACCGCATACCACCCCCAGAGACACGACTCAACAGAAAGGCAGAAGAAAACGCTGGCGGAAATGATTTCTATTTACGTGGATGTACAGCATATAACGTGGGACGAAATCCTGCCATAGGTAACGTTTGAGTACAACACCGCAACCCAGAAAACGACAAGGTTCGCACCATTCCGCTTCGTTTAGGGTCGAGATGTGCAAACCATGCTAGACGCTGTGATTCCTTGTGACATCGACCAGCAAGAGCTACTAACTCCTGATGTCTACGATTACATTCAGCGTGCAGAGGAAGCACATCAGTTAGCTCGCGTGCACATAAAATCGCAGCAGTGTGAAGACGCCTGAAGGTACGATATCCACCATCGACAATTCTGCTATCAACTTAGCGACCAAATGTGGGTTTGGACTCCTGTTAAACGGCGAGGTCTGAGCGAAAAACTACTGAGCAAGTACTTCGGACCCTACAAAGTATTACGGCGGTTGAACAAGGTCAACTACGAAGTTATTCCAGACGGAGGCTTGGCGACGACCCAACGCCACTCACCGCGAACGGAGATTGTGCATGTCGTCCGCCTAAAACCTTATATTACGCGGTGATACTCGTCTTATTGTGCCCGGGCAGCAAACATTTTATTTTTTACATTGTGCGTTGGGTCTCGAATGAACTGTGAACACCTGCATATTCCCTGTGCACTATAGGTACCGTTTCTCTCACTCTCTTTTTTTTCCTTATCGCCCCTGCCATGCCCTTGTGTATGAGCATCGGGTCTATGCTCTAATGGGAGAGAGAATAATGTCACCTAGAGTTGTGAGCCGGGAAGCCCTGCCGAGCCAAAAAGGGCAAAGAGAACGAAGAAGAACTGTGGTTAGCGCCTCGTTTGAAGATACACGCTCGTGTCTTTTTGCCCCACTGTTCCTGTCTTGTCTCTACGGCTCTTGGTGCGTGACAATATGATGAAAGATGCGAGATGGGGTACTGGAAGCGTTCACTATAAGGACAGACAGACAGACAGACAGACAGACAGACAGACAGACAGACAGACAGGCGCAAGCACGAAAGGACAGGCAGACGGAAGCATGAATGGATGGACGGAAGCACGGATGGACGGATGGATGCAAGTACGGGCGGATGTACGACAACAAGGATGAACGGATGGACGCTTCGTCCCACTCATCATCATTCACTCCATGGATCTGCTGTACTTTTTTTTGTTTGAAAAGTGCGCTCATTTTCAAAGGATCAATGTTGAGGAATTGTGGTGGTCCTGTAAGTGTGTGTTGTCTTCGTGTGTTTATCGCGCTTGAGCAGCGCACTCCACTTTCTTATCTGCTTGTCATTCTTCGGGTAACCTTAAAATTTCTTGCTATCACATTCATTGCTTCCCTTTTCCGCAATACTGTCACTTTCTATTCAAGACTAACGCCAAAACATAAAAATAAACGTAACAAAAAGGGCGTTCAAAGCGGCAAACGCGAAGATTACGCAAATCCGTGTACTAACATCGTTCCTAAACTGACTGAAAGATCGCAGCACAATACTTACCGCTAGTTATCATTGGGAAACCATGCTCTGAAGGTCTGGAGTAGTTTGCAACGAAATTGTTTGGTTTGTTCTATTTCCATATTGTGAAATAAAATGAACTTACAAGGCTTACGAGAACATAATAAATCTTGGTTCCTGCACGGAAACTGCTTATACCAGGACATAGTTTCCAGCTCTCAGTTCGGCATACGGCCAGATAAGGGCGATAGTGCAGATCAGCATTATGTGGGGCGTTTTTTTTTGTGTCACAGAGTGGTGTCTTCAGAAAATGCCAGAGGACGAGGGGGAGGCGTGGACAAGGCTACTTTGGCGAAGCTCGAGGCAGGCTTCAAGAAACTCCAAGATGCCAAAGACTGCAAGTCGCTGCTCAAGAAGTACCTTACCAAGGAAGTCTTCGACAAGCTCAAGACGCGCAAGACCGGCATGGGTGCTACCCTACTTGACGTCATACAGTCAGGTGAATGCCCATGTAAATTATAGGTGTTCATAGTTTACTAGCCTCTTCACAGGTGTACTGCAGAACAACGTTTACATAGCGTTAAGTGTGCTGTTTTTCTGGTCTTCAGCATGCTTATAACCTTAACATAGTAGACAATTTTTACTATTGGTGATAGCCCAGGCTGATAATAACCTAGTAAGAAAACCCATAGAAACTAGAGATCTGTCTATCTAGTACACAAAGAAATGGCCACAGCGACAACTGCTGAAATTAACTTCACAGGTTTCATCGTGTTGCTTGAACCAAACAGCTTGTTCAATTGTGACTAAATAAAAAAATAATTACGCTTACTTTGCCATATTGACATTTTAGTTCTGCTCCTATGAACTGATATAGTCGTTCATAACGCAGCATATTGCACACCTATTAAAATGCATAGACTGAACTCACTATCGCTGCAAAGAACGCATTTGTTGTGACGGTCCAATACCCTTCAGATGAGCACAAAATTCATTGCGAGATGGCGAAGTTAAGCTTACTTCATTGACTGAAGTTTGCGTGAATTGCCGGCATCGTTCCATTTCCGAGTTTGTGCGTTAAGCGCGTGTTAGAATTCCTATTCTCTTCGTCGTCGTCACAGGAAGGAAATTTGGAGTCTACTTTCAGACCTTTCCTTTTCTTTCTTACAATGCTCGCAACTCATCGATGCTTCACTTTGCGCGCATTCAGTTACTGCATAACACCAAAATATTGATTATTCTGGTAGAAAAAAGTTGCTTAGCAACAAATAAAGTCCTGTATACAATCTACCGTAAAATGCCGAGCAAGCCCCCCCCCCCCTCCTCCCCAATACTTTTTCGGGAGATCTCAAATAAGTGCCCGTACCCGAGCAAGACACACCCTTCCTATACCCAGGCAACTTTTTTTTTTTCAAGACGAGCATCACTTGTGTAAGAAGAACCTGAAAAATAAGTTAGCTGAACGCGTATATAATGTTGTTCATTGGAATTCGGTCGTCAGTAAATAAAGAAAACACTTCATAAGAAACATCGATAATCATTTTTCAGAAGCTCTCCTCCGCCATCTTGAGTTTCGGTCCGAAAACGAGCATGCGCTTCCCACCAAATCTGCTCAAATAATCCTTCACCTAAGGCGCAGACACTTGCTAGGCATTCTACGGTAGGTGAAAAAGGGGGTAAGACATATATAGACGAAAACTAGCAAGGACAACGTGGATCTGCTTACTTTCCATTGTTTCCAGAGGTGGGAAGGAGTCGTACGAATGCGAAACACGTCGGCTCTGTTTCAAGTTCATATTCAAGAATATCTTTCTGGCGACTTGATGCAATCATGGGAACTGGTCTTTAACTGTTACACAGTCAAGCCTATATTGAACTTAAGCCTGTTAATGCACTTTTGAACGTCTTAAGGTACAAAATCTTCTGCTGGACGCGCCTCGCTAACTCTAACAAGCCGGCTACGCGTCGGACGGAACACCGCCCCGCTCTACAGCGGATGTCGAGCGTCTCTGCGAGCGTAGCAGCCGTCGAAAGGCGCCTATCTCCCCCTCACTCCACAGACGACATGATGGATACGCAGACCGGCCAAGACACCACAACATTCGAGCCAGTGGATGAGGAGGAGCAGAACGCACAGCCATGGATCACTACTGCCAAGGAGTGAACTAACATCGACAGCCACAGTCTGAAACCCCACCGAAGCAAGAACAGCCCAGAACGTCGTCTGAGCCCGCTCCACGCCAAATCCGCCTAAGACGCGTCTACCCAGACTGCCACAACTTTCTGCCCAGAACTAGAAGATCGCAATCCGACCACACGGTGGATTAAATCTCGGCAAGGTTAGTCTGATAATAGTATTTCTCGCCGTGCCCAAGAAGTAAGTTACCAAGTGAAAAGCTTGAATCAAGCTCCGTGTTGATGAAAATCTAAACGTTCTGATAATAAGCAACTCACCGAGGAACAACGTCACAGTGCTAGGCAAAATCACCTAAGTTACAGTATGCGCAGCAACCTACATCACCTCATATGGTAATGTAGGTTCTCTCACGCACACCCAAAGGTCGACGCCATGCGCATGCTCTCGCAACTCATTGCATGACCCAGCTGACCGTACCTGATCAATCAACCCGCATAGGTAATAGTGCGGTCCATGGAATAGGCCATGATACCACATTAGAAGACTTCCTAAAAGAAGTCGAAGTACCAGGCTACGAGGTCCTCACCTGCAAACGCCTCGTTGACTCCGGCGCAATGCTGCTCACAATGTGTGGCAAGCGGGTCCCACTCTTCGTCAACGCATACGGGCAGGCTTTTCGCTACTACCTCTACGAACGGACTATTCCCCACTGCAGAAAGTGTAAAAAGACAGGACACGGCGTTGATGTGTGTCCACAGCCTCCTAACTAACCGAAATGACGAGTGTGTGGGGAACCAACATCAACAAACAACCACGAACAACCCTTGCTGCATGCTTTCCGGAGGTGACCACCCGATAGTTGCCAAACGATGCCAAAACCGGTATTTGCTGCCAATCAACTAACGCAAACCATCTCGGCCAGCTCCTTTCGCCCTTTCGACCAGTCACCATCTCCCAGTCCCGGATGCCATAGCAGCTCGTCCACGAGTGGAGCCGTCCGAAAGAGTCGTCCCAGAAATAAGTCAGGGCCGAGACGAGGAAAATGAACGTCGCGGAGTGTTTCTGCTGGCTGGCAGAGAACTGCAGGCAGATGCAAGGTAGGGATAAACAAATGGTCATGGCCAGCATAGCGCTCCTCACCCGAAATCACCAACGGTAAGCTGGGCAGAACAGTTTCTCCTCTCCCTGCTTCTCCACATTTTCCCCCCTGCCTCACAGAAGCACCAACGCAGCAAAAAGCACTGCAATTCATGTCAGTGGACACTCATCTGCTCCCGACAGACGTTGAACGCAATGGCTACTTCTTTAAGAGTGGAGTTTTCCGCTATATTGCAGGTAGAACTGCAGAAAATAAAGGATACTATTATGACAGAACAAACAGCTCCACTTCAACAATTATTTCATCAGGCTCGGCCACCCACTGTCTAGCAGATCATAGATGTTAAGCAAGAGATAGCAGCTCCGCTTGGCCACCTACGTACTACTCTACCTGCACCCAAACGCTCCACGTCTCTAACGCGTGAAACGCAGCGAACGCATCTTTACATACGCCCTTCCCGCTTCATATCACCATCCCGAAAATCCGCCCCAACTACCGTAGCTACTGCAGTCTCACTCCCCACCACCCCCTATGAAAATTTAGTGCAGTCTGAAACGCCTTTGTGTACTAACGAGGCACCAATAACCGATGATCATGGCCAGAAACCATAAGTTAACGCGTGCCTCCCCTCAACTTCTGCGTGTATGGCAGTGGAATCGCAGGGGCTACCGTAAAAAACGCGATGCATTCACACGATTTCTTGTGATGCAGCCAAATACTCCTAATGCCATAGCATTCCAGAAAGTGAAATATACCTCTACACTTCCTGGTTACACCACATACACGGACATGACGAATAATACACCAGATCGCACAGCTACATTACTTTCTAGACGTGTCACAGCCATAGAACACACCTTTCAAAGCTCGTCCATCTCGCACGCACTTCTTTAATTGGTTCCGTGCTCTCGCTCCGATGGTATAGTCTGTATGTAGCGAACGGTTATAGTGTACAAAACGTTAGGAAGGGTGGCATTGATCATGAATTATCACAACTGTGCAAACTGGGCAAACACGTAGTCATTGTAGGAAACTTCAATGCGCCCCATCTGGCTTGGGGCTACGCCAAAGAAACACCCAAAGGCCGACGCCATGCGCATGCTCTCGCAACTCATCGCGTGACCCTGCTGACGGTACCTGATCAATCAACCCACATAGGTAATAGTGTCAGCAGAGACGCATTCCCTGACCTCACGATATTAAAAGGGGTTAGTCACCACTCTTGCTGCAACCTCATGATTATTTTAGGCAGTGATCACCATATACTAAACACCGAGTTCCAGGTAGCACCCACGAGCACCACAGAACTTATCATAGAAAAAAAACAAATTGAGATATATTTTGACGTTATCGTATGTCCACTACCAGACAAAACTCTCTCTCTCTCTTGAAGCTTGGATCAAAGAGCCGAAGTCCGATTTTGATACAGCTACGAAACGCATCACCGTGACGACGGAGACGCCAGTTGTGGACAGGAATCTGCTGCATCTCTGAGATGCCCACAGAAACTTGACACGGCGGTGGCAGAAGCACAACCGGAAACTTTGTCTCGACATTGCCCAACTAGCTACTTACACACAGGCCTATGCGGACACGCACAACAGGAACAATTGGCATAACATCTGTGATCGCCCCAATTGCGCACTTAGCACACCTCGTACATGGCGTATACTCCACGCTCTCTTAAATCATAAGCAAACAAAATCATAGACTGCTAACTCAATCCGCACCATTTTCCACAAATGAGGGCTCGACAACACCACACTCCCACACACTTACAGAAAAATATGTATCCACAGGCACTCGTCCTGCCTGCCGCGAATACCCACGCGTTCACAATACGTCTCTAGATGAGGACATTACAGAAGCCGAGATTAGGACGGCCTTCCAAATCATTCAGCGTAACACAGCACCTGGAGTTGATGGAATCACGTACACACTTTTCCGTAATTTAGATGACCAGACCATCAAACATTCAATCTCTTTTTACAACGAGCATTGGAATAGCGGCATGCTACCGCAGGACTGGTGACACGTAGAAATTACTCATTCTAAAGCCTTCCAAGCCACTGTCTCTCCAGAACCTTCGACCCATATCTTAACATTCATGTGTTGTTAAACTATTTCAAGGCGTTGTCCTCTTTCGACTGCTGCCGTTTCCTGAAGACATCAACTTTTTCCCGATACCCTCCTCGGCTACTGTCCTGGTATCTCTTTACAGGGCGAACTACTACAGCTTAAGAAGGACGTGTTGGATAGCTCC